TGTCACTCTAAAGATGGGAGATGACTGGAGTACGTAAAAGGCGGTCGAAACTTCCAGGGACAGATCTCGGGAGGTTGGACAGCGATGCAGGTTTTGCAGCTGATGTTGCGCACTGCGGCATGCACGACACTTTGGTTCCATTTTGCTTTTCATGGCTAGGTCTCTCATAGCAGCAGAGACTTCCGAAGCGATGGCCCGGACTTTGAGGCACGAGGGAAGAAGCGGCAGCAAATCTGGGCCTGAAGGAACGGCACACACCTGCGGTACCCTACCAGACATTGGTCAATATGAGGGCATCCGAGACCTTGTATGAATTTGAAGGAGTCGTGGCTATGAGACGTGGTGTGAAGATGTGGCCACCACTGCCGCTGCCGCTTGCTCAGATGAATGGCCTCACTCATGCTGCTCATGCTCATGTCTGTTTGATTTGCACTCTGTGAATCGTTCAGCTCCTCCGAGGACTCAAGCCCAGGTGCGGAAATGCGCGGTTTGCAATCTGGTAGCCTGCAAAGCACTGAAGCTCTGAGTACCCGCACATGCTGCTCCAAGTTCCCCCAAAGCAAACCCGTGCAACTCGCATAAGAACAGTTATGGGCAGCTGTCAGCAGCATGTTCTCGAGAATTGCGCGATGCTGAGAAGGAACACCTGAAGTACCTTCAGTAATTTCAATTTCTGGAAAGAAATGCGGATTTCCCTAGTTGGTTGGTGTTTTGGTGCCCAATTTCTGATCACATTCAGGCTCGTTGCGCTCAAGGTGGTGGACTGAGAGCTTTGTTGGTGCCACTGTTGTCTGGGTTTGGGACTGGCTTTGCAAGTTGGCGGACTCAAACTTCACCGCTGGCATTTTCCCAGTGTTCAAGAAGTCCAGTAAAGATGTTCGAGGCTGTTTCGAACATTGAGGGACAAAATGCAGCGCTTCAGGATGGGTTTATGTTTGCTTACAACTCTCTTCTATTCCTAGGAAATCAAGCTCACTTTTTGTTTAGGGAGCGCCTCAAACTGCACCATGGTTGATTGATCAACATGCTCAAGGATATGATGGTGATTTGCAAAATTTCTAGAGGGATGATTTTGTTGTCTGAAGCCATCAGGTTGCTGATGCTGTTGGAGATTCGATGCCTAACACGTGTAAGCATTTAAGCCAAGCTAGCTGCTTTTTAGGAAGGCCTTGATAAAAACCTGGATTGGATCTTCTGCACCAGTGTTGCAAATGTGAGCCTGGCAAGAGCTTCATATTGCTGATTTACTCTTGGACAGCAGGCTTTTGCTGACAGCCACAACTAGAGGGCTGTGACATTCAAGCAGGACCTGAATCAGCGATGCACCCTGTCAGTGGGCTCAGGCGAGCAATTTGATTTGGTTGCCTTGCTGAATGTGCTGGATCGGTGTGCCAAGCCGAGGCAGTTCCAACCTCTTGCTTTAGTGAGACTCAGTGAGAGCACAGTTAAAATTTCCAGCCCGCGCTCTTAATGTGTAGGGTTGGAAGCAGATTTGAGACCTTGAAAGTCTCCTGATCAGCGCAATCATCGCTGCAAATGATTCTGAACGTGGTCTGATACTGCTCATGTCTGATTTGAGTCATCCTACGATCTCCCATGCACTACACATTCTCCATAGTTGCTGGAAGGCTGGGAAGGCTGGCACAGGAAGGCCAAACGGCGCAAAGTAGTGTAATTGGGACATCAAGGCCGAACTTCAAAGAGCCAGTGTGCATGTGGCTTTGCCTGCAGGAGCCTTCTCGCAGCAGCCCGGCTGCTGCTGCCAAAAGGCTCGTGGTTGCAGCCTCAGTAGTCAGGGCTTCTGCTCTTTCCTTCCTTGTAAGTGGCATGTCTTTGGCGGCAGATTCCCGCTCATTTTGTTCCTTCCGATGAGTTGTGTCAACAGGAATGACCGTCAAATGTTGTGCGGCTGTTTTTGGGTATGAAGGCTGCGCCCCGACTCTTGCTGCCAGGTTTGGTTGCTTCTCAGTGGGTCATGTAACGGTCATACTCTGCTCAGAGCAACCTCCTCCCAGGATTAAGTAATGTTTCAGCTGTGCCCCAAGCATCCTGGCTTTCGGATCGGTTGCACCAAGTTCAGGAGCATGATCTGAAGATATCTGAAGTGTTACACGATTTTCCTCTTGCGTGTCTTTGATGCTTCCATGCCTCGTATAGTCTTGCCTTGAACCCGCTGCCTGCACTCCGCATGTGCTTGTGTATACATCATGTGTTCTCCACTCTTGCTTCCTAGGCTTCTTCTCGCGACGCCGCTGCCATTTCAGGGAGCCTTCTACGGCTGGAGGCTGGATGCTGGAGGGCTGTTGTTGTCTTCCTACTATTAGCATCTCGTGCTGCCTCTAGTTCTCTTGACAATCTCAAGTTGTGAGGTCCTGTGTACCCTTCTCCAGACTTCCGACCCTTCAATTCCTGCGAGACACCTCCTCATGTACGAACCAGTCTAGAGTTTTAAAGCCTGCTGGGGCCCAGAGCCTGAAGGACCGCATGGACGGGCTGGCAAGTGGAGCGCCTGCTGAACCAAACGGCCAGCGAGGCCTGGGACCAACTGGAACCAAAGTGTCGCACGGGTCTTCAAAGGAGAAAAGCTACACCAAGAAGACCAACAGACTTTGCGAGCGGGGTGCGGCTTAGAATTTGTTACAACAGCCCAGCGTCACGATACCAATATAAACTCAAGCCCAGCTCAAACTACCACGAGCTGCTGTTGTGGGCGTTACTCCTGCGTACATGTGTGGATGAACTGCGCAGATTCGACTAAATTGCGAGTCTCCATCTCTCTCTAGATCGTGGCCCTGCACAGCCCGAAAAGTCAGCCCGAAACAGATTCCTGAACAGGGACCCTCCTATGTTGAAAATTGCCCCTGGAGTAATAAGAACCTAAGCGCAGGCATGCTGGGGTGGCCTCTCGGATCAGCATTTGAGACTGTTTGAACGCTTCTGCTTCGGTTTTTGCGGGAAAGGCACGTTGCCTCAGTGGAGTCCCGAATATACTTGCGTGAGGCCACAGGGAGCCGCGGGATTGAAGATGTCATTGCCAAGAGTGCTCAGTTTTAAGCCCCTATAAGACTCCTAAAGTACCTGGACGTTTAATTAGTTTAGTTCGCGGTTAAGCGGCACGTAGGGCTCACGGTACAAGAACGAAACGATCGTGACAGCCTGTCAGCGTGTGATCAAAAAGCTCCTATGTTCAAATGTGCAATGCCGTCAGCTGGACACAGAGGTCAGGCGCAGCATCTCATCCAAGATGTGCTGCCGCGCGAAGGCTGATGCCTGGCTCTGGCTTCAAGTTGTGGTTCAGAGAGAATGACGAAAACTAAGCTGGTTTGCGCATGACAGAATTCAGGCAGAAATTTCACATACCATCCTGTTTCCCAACACCATCCAAATACTGCTGTACAATTTGAAGCAAGAAGGGAGACCCGCACAAGCGTGCCATAGTTGCAGTGTGGTTGATCCGCAGGCTTTGAGCCTGTAGTCGTTTCGCGACTGCCCTACCTCTGTGGCGGCGATGCCTGATGCTCAGTGACTCAGTGATGTTAACTTGTTTTCTCCCAAAGCGAGTTCCGAATCATCCTTACTGCAGGCATTTGTGCCCTACTCCGAGCTGGATGACCTCGTCGTTCTTGCCAGAAGTGTATAAGGCATTTCTTTTGGAGCTACATGCCCGGACGAAGCCAGTGAATGCTGTCAGCAGGCGCATACACCAGGGAGAAACTGGAAAACAAGTGTCGCACGAGGTGCAGAAAGCCTAGGAGGCTCATACTTGTTACGCACAGTCAGTAAGCTGCCGTCCAGTTGGGACAACTAGAATGGACCGGAACGTCGACCTGCCGAAGGAGACGCCTTTGAGGATGAGTGCGAAGAAAGCACCGAAAGGAGATCCGGGCCTTCTTGGCAGGCCCGGGAAACATGGTGCACGTCAGGTTCTTGGACGCTGTCTGTGTTTGACCAAGTCCGGGAGTATACAAGTTCTCTGTGTGGACTTCTTGGCGTCCAATCAAATTGGATTTCTGGATTCTGCTCGAGACCAAGCGATGATCCAGCTTTGGCTCTCCACTCCAGAGCTCCTGGCGTGGAGAAATGCAGCAAGCAACAATAACTTCGAGTCTCTCGACACTTCGGCGCATCCTCACTGACAGTTTAGGCAAGGCTGGAAGCGCACCAAAGCGCTAGCGGGCAACAACTGCTGCCGCAAACTGTGGCCTTCGCAAGAAATTTTGCTACTCAAGGTGCCCGCGAAAAACGGCTGGCCGATCGGAAGTTTGTTCGAGTCCAGCAACACTCTGCAACGTGACCGTTGCAGTCCAGAAGTTTAGGAAGCTTCCGCAACAACCATTAGGTCACTGGGTCCAGCCACTGCTGGCTGCTGGGATTGCAATGAGCGCATTTGGCCGGGGCAGGTGGACCATGGAGATGGCATGATGAAAAGAAAAAATGCACGCCCATTTGCTCCCTACATGGCAAGCATGGCTCTTTGCATGAACTTCAGTCAACCAGCAGCTCCCTGATCTTCGGGACTGGGGAGGTTGGGAGCCGTGATTGTCTGTGAGGGTTTGGAAGCTCCAAGACCTGGGTCAGCAGAGTCCCTGCACCTTCTGAGATACTTTAAGCTCCCAAGGAGCGGTCTGAGGGTACATGGGACGTTGAGGCTGTTGGTCTTAGGATGAGGGCCAGAGGAACATGCCAAAGCCGTTGCAGCAAAGATTGAAATTTGCAATGCCGCGCCGGCTCTCCGCCAGTTTGCTAAGGCTTTTGAGCCTCGTGGAAGGTTTTGAGTCTAGCACACTGATTTGTCAAATGTTCTATGAGCAGGGTGTTTGGGTTTACTGTTTGCAAGCTTCTTGAAGCTTAGGACTTTGGAGTACGTGGCAGCAGCCAAGTGTTGACGACCTTGTGGTTGTGTTAATGTGCTTTACCGTAGTGATTTGAAGCTAGCCAATTCAATGTAGGAAGCTTTTCTGAGTCATTTCATGCATTCCGAGCAGCGCTTCTCGCCTGCTATGCCATCACCTGGGCTGCTAGGCCGGCACGTGTTGTTGCGCTCGAACATCAAATGCCATTTCAGTACTCCTTCCTTGCTAACTTGAGAGGTAGCGGCTGTAATCTGTTGTGGACGACAAAGAAGTATAGAGAGATGGGCTCCTGCTCCTGCTGCTCCTCCTCCTGCTTCTCTGATGGAAGCCTGCAGGCTCTTATGACGCGCAGCTGGGAGGCAGTGGTTTATTCTACAAGGGCAAAGTTGGGGAGCTCGTGTTCTTCTGGAGCATTTGTTGCACAAGTGCAAGCAAGGTTGGAGCTTCAAGTCGTGTGTTTTTTCTTTGGCGCATTTGAGCTGGCCTTTTTGAACTTCTTCTTAGTTAGTCCGACTTTCAGTCCTGATAGGGCGCATGCGATAAACGTGTGCTTAGTTGTTGCACGGCAAGCTGCGGCATGTGTTTAGCTCCTCAAGCATGGCGTCTTAGCTTTCTGTGCGATGGATGCAAGATGTGCTGGATGCAGGTTACAGCCACCAACTCAATGCAGCAGCCCCAGTTAGCAAGACAGCCCAAGCCTCACCACCCCATGTGGAGACGGCTTGGGTTCAGGCATGAATACAATCGTTCGTGCAGGCATCTGTTGTCGAGTAGGATTAAAGTCTACTCCTAAAAGCGCTTGCCTTGCACCTCCTCACTTGACAAATGAAAATGACCTTTCTCAGAGCAAGTTCTGAGGCCATGACGGCTCCAGCTCTTGGAGTGCCAGGACTCCAGGCGCCACAGGCCACTGACACAGCTGCATGTCTTGGATGCAAACCTTACTGGTCAAGTGGAAGCCGACAAACCTTAATGTCTGGACCTCTACAGACTCACTCCAGATCCAGGCATCTACCCTCCAGGCCCTAACGATGATAGCTTCTTCGGTCAATTCAGGGAACAAAAACTGGGTTGCATGTATCTGTTGCTTCACATATTCTTGCGAGGGCCTTCAGATGCCCCCGCCGCTGCCAATGGCCACACCCCTCGCAACTTGGATTAGATGGACAGTTTCGGACAGTGAAACCCGAGCACCTGATGGCACATGCTTGTCTGGCCCAAGACCCTTCCTTATAGCAGGCCCAGAATGATCGTTTTGATTTACGCTGACCCAGGGGTACTGACTGCCGAAATGGCCTGGAAACTACCTCTCTCCTGGCAGAAAGCAGGAAGCTTCATCTAGAATTTTGTGCTACTGAAAATGTCAAGTGCTTGAATCCTGAACGAGTCCGAGATAGATCTGGCATAGCATTCATCACAGCTGCAGATGGCCCGCCAGCGCAAGCAAACCACTCCAGACCCTGCATGCTCCAAATCCTGAGCAGCCAGAGTCTTTCAAGCAGTGACAGGCTCAATTTGAAGGTGGTCCGCAACCGAGGCTGTGCCGTCGTTGGACGTGGGCTTGGACCCGGCATCCCAGGAGCAGCTGCGCCCCGTCTGTTCATCATCCCCTCCCCCCACATGTAAGATTTGGTCAATGTGGGGACACCCGTAGCCCAGGAACGACCTCGCAGCCAAAGGAAAGCAGCTCGAGGCAAGGCTGCTCTGCACCAGTGAGAGCAGAACCCGTCATCTTCGGTTTTGCAAGGGGTGACTTTGTGTTCAATGAGTTCATGCTTACTGTTCCCATTGCTTATCCTCCTTTTCCTTATCCACTTTCGCCTTTCTCTTTCTCTATGGCTTTCTCACTTTAACGCTCCCACACTCTGTTGCCTCGCTCTTGCTCTCTGATTTTTGCTTTTTCGAGCAGTAGCTTTAGCCCCCTTGCGCTTTTGCGGTCTGGCTTTTGCAGTTTCACTTTCATTTGGGCGCTCCTCCATTGGGCCCAACCTTCTGATAGACTGTCGACGGAATCATGATTGGTGGCATAATGAGAGAGGCCCTTCAGAACTACTACGCTACTGTGCAGCGCGAGCTGCAGACGGAGCGTTCCTCTGCCGGGGAGACCCAGCCTCCTCTGGCAATTGCGTCAGCCGGTTCAGGGATGTGGCAAGACTATAGGGGCAAAGCTATCTGTTGCAAGAAGTGTTTGGCCGGTTGCTAGTGGAGGGCCATGAATGATCTATTTGCGTTTATGGCTGGTGTGTAAATAAAGGTACGGGCCACACATTGACTTGCGTGTTGCATGTAGTTCCTTACATTTCCTCACCATTTTGATACCTTGTCCATGGTCCTCTCCCACAGACGGGCACGCCGGGATGTAGCCATTTGTGTCCGCATCGTTTCACCTCCCTCCTCAGGCCTTGGGCTCCTGCGAAGCCGTGCTGATGAGACTACGCGAGGAGGCCTGGGAGCAAATCACTTCATGTTGGCTTCGTGCATTTGCTACATCGGATCTGAAAAACAAACCGGGCTGGGTTGGAAGGTTCCAGCCTCGAGCCCCAGGGCTTCGAACCCCAGACTTGAGTCTAGTATCTCCACGTTGGCAACCCAGAAACGTAACACAGCAGAGTCGCGAGCGCAGCAGCAGCTGCAGCCCCAGCCCCAGCCTCAGCCACCGACGTGGCAGGAGCAGTGGTGGCATGAGGCAGCATCATTGATGATACACTAACATCCACTTCAAAGTACGAGCCTGGATTGGATTTTGCATTTGCGGGGAGGGCTTGTAATTGGGTTCCAGGATCTGGATTTTGCAGCTATGTGGGGGTTTATTAATATGAGGTCCACATTAGGTCCAAGTAAGGCCACTAGATTTGCCATGTTCAGAAGAATTATTAAGGGCTAATTAAGGGGGCTGCTATGGCTCAGTGAATGTCCCGTCGAAAGGTGGCTGGCCTCTCGCCGAGCCTTGCTGCCTTGGCAGTTTGGCGCTCGGAGGGATGCAGGTTCAGGGCATGGGGAGGAAAGTAAGGGGAAACTCAGCAGGTTGTAGGGATCTTAAAGATATTGCAAGATCAGCGCACTGGTGTTGGTTCTCGTTGGGCCTGTGCGATGCGCTACACACAGCTGACATTTCTTGCTGTACTTGGTTCAAGACTTACCGCGCTGGGATGTGCGAGGAGAATGTGGCGCAGTCGAATCAGCTGGCAGAGGACATCCATCGGCCTGCTCCTGAGATCCTCGCTAGTTGGTCAAGGTTGTCTGGCTCATGGACGCTCTGCAGCCCTTCGATAGGTATCCTGGCCTAATCCAGGGCCGTGTTCTGTGGTGGACTGCTGGCAGCCAGACAACCTGTGAGAAGATCTAGGTTTATGAATATGACGAATATGAGTTCTGTTTCGTATGCCTCACCGACAGCGGTACTAGTAAGAACTCCGCTGGCGACTCTCCAGTGGCAAGCGCAGACAATTGACCCATTTTCCCACCGCTGTCCAGATCACCCACATCAGGTGGTTCGTGGCAAACGGTCCGCGAATACGCGGGTATCAGGCCGCGGCAAAGCAGCAAAGATGTTCTTGCTTTTCAGCAGATGTTTTATATCAGTTTTCTAGGAGCTTTCCTGAAATTCTGGAGACGCACTTTCCTATGTTGTTTGGCTAGAGCATGGTGCTGTGGCTGAGGCAATCCCCCCTTCTTCCTTCATCAATGAACGGCAGGAGTCGACGGACCCCAGTGGTTGGCTGGCAGAGGACACGCAGGAGCTGCGCCAGAAGGCTGACAGAGTCTGGCAGATGCTTGCGGCTATCTCTCTCCTATACCTCTGCTTTTTGCAGCAGATGGAGTCCTGTAATTTGGTGCCCTTGAACTGGAGTCCTCAGAGCCTCAGTAGTGTGTTCTACAGCTGGAAGCTGAGCTTGATGCTGGGGTTGTGGCAGAGTAAGGCGTGGAAGCATGCGCTTAGCTGGAAAGTTCCTTTGAGTCCTCTTCGTGGCCAAATCTTAGTATTCGTCAAGTGCAACAGGGTCAGGTATGTAGTTGCGTGAATCTGAAGGTGGACTCCCTGGGCCTCCGTTGGAAGCAGCTTCAGGCAACCGCTTGGAATGGCGCGGCATACGGCATATTGTACGTACATGATGGAAGCCCTACCCCTGTGATGGATCGCAGTTTTGGAAGAAATGGTCCTCCCGTTTCATTCTTGAGCCTCACAAGGGCAAAAGCTTCACATTCGAAAGTTGGCTGCCAGAGCTACAGTCTCTGCCCTTCTAACAGTGAGCATATGCTTGCGGATCGCGATCCCCTCCTCTAGGCTGTGGCTTTTACCGAGCTACCCAGCCGAACGGTGGAGGCCCAGGTGAGATTCCACTGTGGGCGGACTAGGGCATGCCAGAAGTCATGTTTTGTCCGTGCTTGTCTCAGTCCAGAGTCCACTTTGTCTTATGATTGTTCTCAAGATTGTGGTTCATACTGATTCATATCTTAAAGCTTTCAAGGTGCTTCTTGTGCAGAAGCCAATCTCCTATCAAAACATGCTGTGGAACCGCACCTGGTACATTGAAGAGGTCTCGACCCCCGCCGAAGTCACTCCCAGGGCAGAGGCCCCTGAACTGAGTGCCTGTTGTGCATGGCCTCCGGACATGACGTACTCATGCTGGTTGCTAGTCCCTCAACATTCGAGGCTCTCATTCTCATGCCCCACGATGAGCAACGTTGCAGCGTGGAGGTTTCTGCGGTAGCAGCCACGTCTGCAGCCGCCTCACCTAGCCCCTCGGTAGCACTCCAAAGAGAAATTGTGTGTGCCCTTGTGTGACGTGCCATTGCACGGCATCTATGATACTGTGACGTGCACTTTGTCGTTCCTGTGCTAACGGTTTTTGGTTTGCAGCTCCGGCCAGCCGTTTAATGGTAGATGCGGCTCAGGGCTCTGCCCCTCCGGCCATGTCATGTCCCTGTTCACAGCAGCGAAGGCGCCAGTTGCCTTCCCGCCTTTCACTGCCATAATCTTGTTGCTTGCGTAGGCATTTGCTGGATTTATGCCAGCCTTGCTCTGAAAACTTGTCAACTGAAGGCATTGTCACTTCCTTCAGCATTGAAGATGAGGTTGAGGCTGAAGGGCAGAGATGCTTTGGCTTGCAGGACGGCGCGACCTGCCAGGTCTGTGGAGCCATGCACGCCCCTGGTGCTTCGGCTGCAGATTAGCCAGAAAGAAGTTCTCGGGAAGCACGCTTGAAGCCTCAAGATCACTTGAGGTTGATTGAGAGTCCCTGAGAGAGAGGGTAATGATTCCTGGGATGGTTGTGCAGAGGCTGGCATCCAGAGTGTAGGTCCCGCACGGAGAGAATTATGTTATCTTCGTTGAGGTTCCCCAGTCTAGGAGCCTCGGACAACGATTCATATGTGTTCGGAGGCATTTCCACACAAACTTATCGATCTGCACTACTTGGGCTCACGTACTACTTCATCACGACTGGACCAGACTCCCCAAAACTGTAATGGACAGTACCCGGCTGTTCTGAACAGTCTTTATCGCAGCTGCTGTTCCCAGATTCGTGTAGAGCAGTGCCATTTCTGTGTGCCATTGCTGTTGGCTATTGAAGTTGCAGCAAGTGAGTCCTGAGGCAGCGTTCTGATGAGATGTCTGGGACTGAGCTCAGCCAACGGTTGATCTGTAATCAGGATTGCGTAACTGTCGCTGCTACCACCACGCCACATTTTGGGGTGCCTCTTGTTTTCGTACCCCGTTGGTTCGGCTGCACTTTTTCGTCACTGCAGTTGGCTAGAAAGTCATTGTTGAAGGTCCGGTATTTTCATCAAGGCCTTCTTAGAGCGAATTTCGGAGATCGACTACAGCTTGATTAGGGATGTGAATAGATCGTGTGGGCTTTCAGTCATGAATGAGGCAGAGACCTATCTTGTTTCTGTCCGGCCATTGAGCAACTCATGATCACAACTCGGAGTGAACAGAGTGCACCAGAGTGCAGTGAATGAACACCCTGATCTGGGTGGGTGGACTTCTGTTGAGTGACGTGGCCGTGCATGCTGAAAGCTCCCATGCCGTGAGATCTAAGAGTTTAGGAAGGCAAGCAGTGTCAATGCAAGATAATTGCACAGGCTGCTCTGAAATTGCTTGCGTCAGGCGACCTTTGTGGTCATGAGGCCTGCATGGGCTGCACTGCAAAGTCGAGCGACTTGCAGGACCCCGGGTAAAGCATGCTGGTTTAGGGTGACTGCAATACTTCCAAGGCATGATCACAATGGCTAGTTTGCATGATTGATGACTCGCTGCAGGGGCAAATGTCCAGCAGTCCTCTACCTGCCACGGGGCGTACGGCACTTGGTGTCAGTGAGCATGCAAAGCTCATGGTTTCGATGGCATACTTGTCGACTGTCAAGACGAACGGGTAGGATGATACTGGAGACAAAGTAGTGTCTAGTGCTTGGATTTGGGGCTGATAGATATCTGTCAGAGAGCCTACCAACATGGACAAGGTTGGCTGGTTTCCAGAGTCAAAGCACGCCAAAAAATCCTGAGCAGCAATGCGTGCAGACTTCAAATGCCTCCTGAAAGCTGCAGACTGCAGCCCATCCGGACCTGAGGCGACCGGCCAAAGCAGCCAGAGTCCATCCCAGAGGACCCCGGGGTACATGTAGGATTCATAGGGGGATAACAGGGATCCTTCTCATTGCAGCTTGACACGTATCGAATCAGAACAAAGTCCTTGCAACCTCAGCCCTCGTCATTTGGAAACATCGGAACATGCTTGGGGGTTGTGGTTGAGCTCGCTTTTGCTGCGATTCTTGTAGGGCATGGAAGCTTTTCTCACGTGCATTCACGTGCCATGCAAGGACGTACCTGTGTCTGTGGATTGCGGTACACCTATTGGCGCCCAGCCGGAGGATGACGAGCCCCTGCAGCCGGGAACCGATTTTGATGCCAGGTTTTTGGACAGTCTTCTTTGTTTGACATTGTTATAAACCTTGCCTTGGTGCCAAGGCCGCAGTTCACAAGCTTTCACCTCTCCAGAGGTTGACGGCGAAAGTGTCGAAAACCTGGAGTCTTGCCAGTGCTGCGGATGATCAGTGGCTTTTGAAGAAGGCCACAGATGTCAATGTGTTGCCAACTGTTATGCGCAGGGTCCTGCGCTCAAACTTGACTTCATGGGTTTGGGTCACGCCACGTCTGCAAGACATTCAAACACCAGCCTTCAGAGACCGCAGAGCTCTACAGAAATCCAGACCTTGGTCCCCAATTGAACAGCCAATTCCCGTGTAGCCATGCGGTCATGGCAGTTGACGACAAGGACGCTGTGGGATTTGGCTCATAGAGCACTCCAAAGATAATGAAAGCATGATAAAGAGCGCAGCTGTGGTAGCTGCCTGTGTAGGTGCGTGGTGGGCGGGAGTGCCAAGCTGATCACGCAAACAAACGCATTCTACACCTCATCACCTGTTGTACGAACTCTTCATCAGCTTCAATCTGAGACCACTGCTTGCTTGAGGGACACATGCTCATTTGGTCATTCAGCGCTTCCTGAAATTCAGGAAGAGTTTTTCCTCACGATCGGACCTGGCGGGCCCGCCAGTTTCCTAGGATACCAATGTCTTGGAGCCAGCGAGATCTACTTGATGTATGTGATCAAACGGACCTGCAGAGTGGCAATGCAGAGGTGGATGGGCAGGTCTTTAGAAGTTGTGAGACCTCCGTGCTCATCCGCGATAAAGAGACATTTGATAAAAGCACATGCTGTTGACCTATCTCGCAAAAACAGATGGTGGCAGCTTGACTCACTCAACAGCTCGGCTGCCCAGGCTATGCACCGCCTGGTCGAGGAGGTAGCATGCGGGATCTGAAGCATCACTCTGGTTGAAGCTGGGGGACGTCAGCTGCTACGCTTTGGGGTCCAGAGTTGCCGCTGCCAACACCCTGACATGCCTTCGCATTCACCGCCTGCGAATCCGTTTTGGACTCTGTACCCTGAAGTCTGTCAGAGGAGCTAGCAGCCCTCAACGCAGAAACTGTGGAGCGTTTCGGGCAGGCGCAAGCTGCAAAGAACTGACTTTCGGCCGAGTTTTGAGAAGCACGCCCAGAGAAAAAAATTCAGAAGATGCAGGTTTGTTGTGGTAAGGGACCAGCAGATTTTTCTTGCTAGTTTGGGGCAATCAAAAGCCATAAATGGCCTGACGAACGAGAAAGTCTTAATTTTTCCTGAGCATCCCAGAGCCAAAGACATAAGTCTCCATGTTGCCCAAAGCATCATGAATCACTTCATCAATTCGATAAGGGTAGGCTTCTGTGAATGTCACCAATCAGGTCCAAAGCCCTAAAAAAACTAAACTCCTAAACCCTGAATCCATCTGAACAGAACCACCTGGCAGGCCCGCTTCTTTTTCTCAGCGGTGCTTGAGCCTGCAGAGCGATTCTTCAGGTGGGCACTTGTCACGATTTTGGGGATTTGCTCGGTGTCGAGTGTCAGGTACCACGAGTGCCTCAATTTCTGTTCATATCATATCGAAAAAACCTAAGGAGTTTCGCATCATTCCAGGAGGGCATTAAGCGATAATGCCTTCAGTGCATGACTGACATGCTACCATGCTCGGTCTTTCATCAATGTCTGTCAAAGAACTGACAACATATGAAGTGGTAGAATCGGCTTTCACTGCAAAACACCCTGATGAGAATGGTACGCTTCAAACTTGAGCCAGACTGCCTTTACCGAAGACACCTATCACAAGCTGAAGCTTTCTGAGTCGTTCCAACATTTCACGAGCTGCCCGCAGCCTACGGGCCCCGGAGAAGCTCTATGTGCTGGCAATGCGCGAGGAGAGCGCCACGTTGCAGTGCCCTGGCCACAAAATGACCCTGGCTTCCAGTAAGAAAACCAACAGACAATGCATGACAAGCAAGGCATGAGCTGAAGCAACAGCCCTATTTAGCAAAGTTCGGGAGCTAGCAAGCTCTGTCGACTTGCTGTGACGGCTATTTCAGCTAGCTCCAGCTTTTCCTGGTGCACCTAGTCTTCCTTCCTGTCGTTGTTGCACAATCTGTGGTAGGGCCTCATTTGGCGCCCCGCAGTTTTGGTGCTCCACTTTGACAGATATTGACTGCGACATGCAATAGGAGCAAAGCACTTGGTACCATGATGTTGTGGAAGCGTTGGCCGAGGTGGCCTTCTGAAAGGGAGGCAGCGGAGGCCGCGCTGGCGCAGCGTGTGGCAGCTGCGGACTGGGACAAGGCCGCGCTCTGCTTTTCTAGGCCTTTCATAGGGTTATTCTGCAAATCGTTGCTGCAGTGACGTCCGCTTAGTTTCAAGTCTCAAGACATGACATGGCCCCGATGCAGCGCTTGTGGCTGGGGACCTCAGGGGTCAGCACCACATCGTTGGGCAGCTAAGTCTACAACAGTGTTTACACTGTTCTACATTTCCTTTCCAAGCAGCCTTTGAACTCACGACCAAACAAGTGACCCGCACAAGTCACAGTAAGCACCAGGCTTTGAGGGTATGGCGGCGCTTTGCGCCAGGCCGTGAGGCAGGGCGGGGGGGGTTAGAATCTACATGAAGCTGAAAGCTCGCGGTTTGCACGCAGGCTGACGGCATGGTGGTAAATCGTTTCGAGAAAAAAGTCCCGCTTCCATGCCTAGCCTCATCTCTTGTTGTGGCAGCTCCTAGACGTCAGCAAAGTCGTGTGCTTCTGAGCTGAACTGCTAACTTTGCCTGCTGTGTTTTACCTGCTGATCCGCAGGTAGCATTTTCCATAAACACAAGAAGCTGATGTTTGTGGTGCGCTCTTCAACATTCCCGGATACTAGACGTCCGTCTAAGGCTTCTAGGGCTTGCGATCTTACGCCAATTTTTTCATAAGCTATCGTTTAAACTCCTCTCCTAGTATCCTCCTTAAGAACCCCCACAGATCCTATAGTACTTCCGTATATAGTCCCCTTCATCTAACCCTTTGGAGCAGTTCAGACCCTAAACCCTAAAACCTTTTTTAAACCATCCCCTTGAAGGAGTTTAGACTACACTTCACATAATGTCTGACACAGGGCCTGCCCCGCAGCTTCCGCGTCACGGGCAAGCGCGCTGGGAAACGAGGGGCGCAGCTGAGTCCGCAGCCTACTTGTCTTACTGGTTCTTAGTGGGGATATGGGAATATAGTATATAGGGATAATTAAAGGAAAATGGAATCTGCATATTGTAGTCGGGTATATATTGGGGTTATCGTAGGGAATATGGGCATATAGTATATTGGGGTTATATAGGGATTAGATTCCCTGTTTCCGTACTAAGAAGCAGGAAGCTGTAGGACAGTTAGAAGGGGGCAGAACAATATGCAGATGTGCCCGCGAGCATTCCACAGGTAACAGGTAGATAGCATTTTTTCAAGGCACGCTCCTTGTTTCTCAAGAATGCACAGCAGAGGCTTGAGTGCGGCAAGGTTCAAACGGCATCGCCGAATTTGTTGGCGAGGCCGGGAAAATTTCTTTGAGGTTCTGCTACCCAACTTCGTTGTGCCATGCAAGGCACTGGCCGACACGAGGGGCTGGCAGGTGGACCTCTATGACTATGACCTCGAGGCTTCACAGCTTTGCATGACATTCTGCATTCTCGAGGGTCTATAGAGACAAGGTAGGCCCACTTGTTTCAAGCATGGAGCAGGCAAGAATCGTTGGCCTGCCAGCCCTAGAAATAGTCAGAGTACTGTGAGAAAGCTTTGCATCTTGCAAGATTGAGAGGTCGTGGTGCATCTGAATGATGAATACTTGATCGCACCCTGGCCGCTCAGAGGATGCCTCCTGCCATTGAAATATCTCAGCCGGAAGATGCAGTTCAGTTTTGCCATCCTGCTGCCCTGCATGAAGGCACAACAGCAGTAAACCGTTGGCATTACGCTATCCGTGCTCAAGCTTTTGCCATGTCCTTGTTCTCGCGCATCCTATCCACGCACCCAGTCCCGCATGCAAGCCTTCTCGAGCGGTGCAAGCGCGAACGTAAATTCCCGCTTCCCCAGTAAGGGTTCTGTGCATGCCTTTAATTCGCAGAACTTCATGCCAACTGCCTCCTCGAGATTCTGCTCCACATGTCCTGAATCCAACTCACCAAATATTCAAGTATTGTGAAAACGGACCATGACAGCCATGGCCAGCCCTGAATATCCCTTTTGATCAAGGTTGATGACTGTTGAGATTCCTCATTCCGGGTTTCCTTTGTGTTTTCATCACGCAATACCAGAGAACAGTTGGTAACAGTTCCTTGCTGCACAAGAGTTTGGATCCCCATGAACAAAACTTCGCAAAGGGAACCCATGGTTTTGAGAAACTTCCAAAATCCTGAATTCCACAATTTCACTTAATGTGTCTCATCATCAGCGTGTGCATCAAGTTTAGCACCCACCCGAGTAAGGACCTCCTAAGGAAACCGCAAAGGCGACCATTGGAGAGGTGTAAAGCAAGCTCTAACGTGAGGTGTTCCTACCACTGCTGGAACGTGGTGAGGCGCAGCAGGCGGCAGCGGAAAGCCCAGAGTTTAGGTGAGTGCTGGGCACTGAAGATAGATACTGTCTAGCTTTTTGACGGATTTTCCAGTTTTATGTGGGCTTTGTCGCGTTTGTTTGCGAGGGTATTGATCTATTGTAAGGTATAGTTGTAGAATTCAGTCGAGAGATTTCCGGTTTTGAGGTTTTGTGGGTGGAGGGTTGGATTCTGTGCAGTCGATGGTCTTAGCGCATTCAGGGTATGAGGTCAAGTCGGTACAGAGATGAAACACAACTCTTGTTGTGAAGCTTGATACCTGTATGGCTTTCTTGGCATGTGTCAGAAGATTCTTGAATGTGTTGCGGAGTCACTGTGGCTTCCCCGAGACCCTGAACTTAAAGGTTCCAGGTATGAATCCCCCTAGATTCCACTTTCCATTATCTTCCATTTGATCCTCCAACATTGCTCCGGCAAAGCCTTATGGTTTCCATGCCATGTCCATTTTCTTTTCTTTTTGATTGTCCATTGCTAGAACACCTTCAAGAGGTTGTATGGGCCTGAACAGCCTGAGAGCTCCCCTTAGTAGGCCCAGTTCGCGCTGCCCGGCCTCTCGCAGCCGGTGGCCTGGGCCATGGCCAGGACTCATTTTGTTTTTTTCACTGTTTTTATTCTGGTTTCAAGGCAAGGCACTTCAAAGTAAAAGGCTTCTTTCTACAGTTGTCTGTCATGTTGTATATGAACCCCTTTGGTTTCTACGTGTTGTGGTTGGCATGTCTTGGCATGTTGACTTTGCTTCTCCTTGCATTGCAGGAGCGTTGAGCCAGCACTTGGTGACATCGTCGTGGATCCGCAGCACGGTTGCACCCCTGAAGCTCGATGTGGGAATTGGATTGCGACATTGATGCAAATCCGTATACGGCCTTGGGGTACTTGGGCTGCATGGTAGAGGCTTCTGCAGGATTTCAGCATTTGGACAGACGCCGACATCAGAGGCGTGTCTTTCAGGCTTGGCCAATCCCACCACCAACCCAGAGCTTCTAATGCAAGACGGCCATCAAATATCATGTTTTCTGGCACCTGGGATGGTGCTGCGTGGCTGCCATCAAGGATGTGTGGTTCTGGCATCGTTCTGTTCGAGGCTGCGAATGCCTCTCTGCGGAGCGTTGTGGTAAGCGAAGCAGTACAGAAACTTTCGCTTTTGCGGATTCAGTTGCTGAAGCCATGCCCCATCATGTGACGCTTCTAGACCTTTGTAGGGATGCTACTTAATTGGTTCTAAGCACTTTGACTTCGCGAACAGAGCCTGAGTTATGGAGGCAGCACAGTGTTGGCGGGGTGCGCAATACCTCGGCTTTGACATGGATTCGTCGCAGCTGGACCATCCGGCGGGGGAGGGCAGAGTGCAGGGAAACGCTCTAGGTTGACACTGTGCAGAGAATGGTTTCAACCTGCTTCTGACGTGATAGACTGAAGGTCGAACAGGGCAGTGTGACGATGCAGTTTCAAACAGCGTTGCGTTGTACGCATCGCTAATCAACTGCAACTATCCTGTACACACAGCTTGGTGGCTAGCAGTGTTCGAGAGCGTGCGTGCTTCAGCAACACCCCCTGCAGCATATTGCTTCAAGCCATCATCTCAGAGCTTTGCCAAACAGAAGTATCTCATGCCCCTTGATCTGCAGCAAGATGGCGACTCTCCTGACATTGCTGACCACATTTTTTCTGGAACAGTGAGCTTATGCTGAGGTCGTCAACATGGCGGCAGCGCTTCTACATGGAGCCAGAGGAGAATCGTGTAAAGAAGGCTTCTGCGCTGCATGTGTCCACAGGCAGATTGCTCTTGTTCTGTCCTGGCAGTTTCCAAAGAAGAAAAACGTGCATGCCGTGGCCTTAGCATCATCAAGCCATTTAATCTAGCCATGCAGCAGCATGTGTGATGATGGAATTCAGAGCGCTTCAAAGCCAATCTGTGTTGATCCAGCAACAAGTTGCAAATACAGGTCCTGGCTGTTTGCCTGGACTACAAAGGTACGGAGCCTTGACTGTAGAATGGAGAGCAGTGGCACTGGTGGCAAATTGTAGTTGGCATGGAAGGCAAGCAACATGATTGTGGGAAGCCCGTCGAGCTCTTGCGGACGCTCAGGAATCACCTCTTAGCTGCATCGTGGATGGAGAGCGCATCTGTGAGCTGGCAGCAAAGTCGGGTGTCAAGGACATCGTCAAAATGCTGCTCGCCTTGATAAGAGCTCAAAGGTCAATCCAGCTCGTTGACTACGGCATGCCATTGAAGGCTGTAGTTGAAAGAGGCTAGTAGCTAATCACTCCTGGATAACACCGGCAAGATGCAGTTCCAAGGAATCCTGATCCGGCAAAGGCCTTCAGCATAAAGCACGTTTCCCGCAGAGGTATGACGATGGATCTACGGAGAGATATCCCTGCATCGAGGAACTCAAAGCCCAGGCTGTTGATGCAAGGATCAGGGTTCTGAGGACTCGAAGATGATTTGATTTTGATTAAGGGTTGCTTTTCCGAGTGTTTTCGGGGTTGCTGAGCAGCATCCGCTCCCGAATCAGCTCCCCTTGTTGAAATATGTTCAAAGCCTGCTGTTGAGGATATTGCAGTGCATGAAGGCCCAAGAGCTACCTTTTGCCTTGTCTCACTGGTTCTTAGCTGGGAATAAGGGAATACAGTCCCAATATATCCCTATAGAATATATTTCCTTATTCCATACTTACTAACCTCCAGTAAGTTAGTTCGCTGGAGGTGTTAGCCCCTGAATTTGGTCAGCGGCCCCTTTGAGGCCTGCTGTACCTTTATTGAGGCAATTTATCCAGTCAATGGGCGATGACTGCAGGCGCTAAATAAACGAAGACCCAAGCTTGCAAAGTCAAATATAGTCAAATCAATTCCTCTGGCTTCGCGGTCGTTTACCTCTATTTACCCCAAATATTCTAGCTGCGTTTCGGTGGTGTGCCTATTCTTGTGCAAGTTGGTGCGAGAGGTGGCGGAGATCTCGGAGCGCTGTAAGCCCGGCGACTACTTCGTCCTTGTGCCTTAAGCCGCAGATGTTAACGGGCCACTGAAGGATTTTCGTGCAAAATGCGGAGGTTTTATGGTTGGGGATCCAGAGCGACAACTTTAGCCCAAAGACTCAAGTTCAGCTGGCTGAAATGTCATGCAAAACTTGGGAAGCAAAGAACAGTATCCATGTCAAAGGATTTTCCAAAGCTTGGACGGGCAAAGTCTCCCCTTTCAGGCTTCAGCCCAACCGTTGCTGTGTGCCAAAGGCCTACTCTGGGCACGGCACCAATCAGGAAAACGAAGAGGAGCAGGACTTTGAATCACCCGGGGTGGAGTTCAGGTCGGGCCGAAAGGCTTTGGACAGTTTCTTGGTGTTTTTCGGGGTGTAGGCACTGTGACTCCTTCTCATTCAGGTATGCTCACGCGTCTCAGGTTTCTGGGTGTGTCGGAAAGGCTGTGAAATTCGACTTTTCGGGCAGGAGGGGCGCTACATGCATGCCTGCAGGTGTGATCGTGCAGCCATGCAAAGTCAACTTGCGTTATCGTGAAGCAAAACAATACACAACAGCTATGGGACCTTGAAACTTTGCCCTTCTTCTCAGTCTCATCAGGATGGGCTCGACAGCATTGTTTGCCTGCGCACACGTGATGGCGAGGCAAGTTGCTGTGGGCAGTTGTGGGGATTGAAAACATTGTTAATACCTGACCCGCAGATTACTCTTCAGATTACCCTAAAAGTGCTCTTGTGGTTACTCATGGGAGATGAGCCTGGAATCGCAGGATGACCACATGGTGGATGATGACCTGGGAGCGCTTATTGCCGAGACGTTTGTGGCCTGACTTTTCAACTGGCTCGGGCTTCAGGTTGTAGGCTCTGGAGGAACAGGGCTGGGAATGAATTTCTCAAGGTCCAAACTGTTCTGCCTGTGCCTTGATGAGCGCTGACCACTGAGGATCCAGCGGTCACTGTTCTTGTGCTGGCCGATGCATGCCGCAGCCTCATGAGTTCACTGATGGATGACTTGCCTCCACACGATGCAAGGCAACAGCGCAGGTGTTCTTGACTGCGACACACCTGGAATCTGGGGCAAGCGGCATGTGGCAGCACCTCGACTATTTGGCAACTTGTTCAACATGTGCAAGGTACCTTTTGGTCTTCACAAGATGTCCTGGCAGTCTGATTGGGAGGCCATTTCGGGATGTCAAAATGAGCAGTGCTCAACTGACACAGGCGACGGAGGCAGGTCCGCAAATGCTGCTAGTGGATTGATTTGTTTGGATTCACCGCCTGTACTCTTTTGGAGTCGGGCTCAGACGCTGCAGACTCATCTTGACATTCAAATGTTGCGCAGGTGCCATGACAAACGCCCTGCTGCATCTTGGCTTGAGTTCAGAGGACCTCAAAGCCACGGCAGCCGGGTAGTCCGTAGTGTCTTTGCTGCTGGACTCAAAAGCCTGGTTACAGCGCAGCTCCTAGTTGTAAGGTATTGAAAAGGGAGCCCAGTCCCACGTGTGAAGTCCAACGTGCCAGAGGCAAGTTCTCAACAACAAGAAAATCGCCAAGATGCGGAAGCAGGGAGGTGTGTCTGTGCAGCGCCTCGGCCGACATATGTGTCGGGCGCCTGTCAGCGCAAAGAATCGAAAGCTTGGGTCAAGGGTCGTGATTTGCAGAGACCTCAGAGCGAGAACAGGTTACTTGTTTTTCTGCCTCATGCAGCCACGCCTGCACCCAACCTCAAGTCCAAAGGTATGTGTTCAACCGCATGGTTGAAGCAATGCCTGAAGACGAGGCAGGTCGAACTGTGCTTGCGTGAGGGTCCGTGGCTCACAATGTAAGCCTCTGGGGTCATGGCATAGCAGAGGATGTATCGCAGAAGCGCTCCTGACCTTCCGACTTCCTTTGACATGTCTCTGGGAAAATGCCTGGCTGCATTATTGTTGTAGTTGGAAGCTGGGAAGCTGGAGACTTGCTTATGCGGAGGAAGAAGAGGAGGGAGAAGAAGACGAGGAATATGACGAGGAGGACCCTGCCAGCCTTTGCCTGCTCTTGCGCTGCATGTTGTAGAATCAAGAATCAGCCTCATATAGGCGTCCTCATCCTGTAGCTAGCGTCTAGAAGCTCAAGGCTTTCGTCCGTGCAACCTGAGAGGGTAAATCTACTGTACGGCAGGAGGAAGGCGACGATGAGGAGTACGAATATGAAGACGATGAGGCTGACATTCCGATTGCATGCGATTGCCATAGTGGGAAGATTGTGCGTCACCTTTAGGATGAGGATGTTGACCCCATCAGCGGTCGGGACCCTGGGAGCTCAGATGGGCTTGTACAACGCATGTTACAAGTAGTTTGTAGAGCGAGACTTCGTCTGAGAGCACTGCAGGCTGTTCTTAACTTAACGTAGATGCACCAGCTTTTGTGGTCTCAGCTTGCGCAGACTTCTCCACATGCTACCAGTAGCCCAGGTGAGGTCCCGGAGCCGGGGCAGAACATCAACATTTCCTGGCCGGGGGGGTGCGATCCAACGAAGATTGCTTTCCCATTTTGAGAGGCATCATGCTCGAAGAGGCTGGGTAAGGAAGGACGTTCAAGATGTTCTTTGCAGGATCTTCCTGAACATGAGGCGTTGCCCACAAGTTTGAAGAGGTATTGAGGTAGACTGAGCGCGTCTCCGTAGCGAGACGCGGCTCACAGTGCCTCCAGAGTTCAAACGCTGATGTTTTCCACTTTTGTATTGGGACCCATCGCGTTTAGCTCCCTGTTTACCAGGATGAACAGATTGGTTCGACCCGCAATTGAGTTCTTGATCGATGGAACAGAGATAAAGCATCAGCGGGCGCAATTGAATTTGAAACAGATGCGCTGGATTGTTTAAAATCATGAAGAGGGAAAAGAAAGAGCAGAAGATCAATTAGCTCATCATGCCGCAGCTTGCTTAGTTGCTCCGGTGCCTCAAAAGGGGCCAGCCCGGGAAGCTAGGGCCAGCCAAGAGTTCTTGGATCAATCTTCCAGGAGCGATCTTCCGAGAACCTGTCAATGCTGGCACCAGAAGTGGCTGCTTGGATGCAGTATGCTTGTACCCAGCCTGAGTGCATCAGATCTCTTCCGATTTAATTTCATGATACTTGAGCTTGCCACCGGACAAGAACCAGTTCGTTTGTCCTCGAACCTTGCTGTCAAGATGCAGCGGCAAAGCTCAAGCAGTTGCCAGCGAGTGCAATTGTAGGAGAGCAGTGACCACAAAAAGCTCTCATGGCGGCAGATAGCTCCAGTGCAGCACTCGCAGCGAAACCTCAATTACACTTAGCTTTGGCACACCACTTCTTGTTCCACGTCGTCCACCACAACCACCGCCGCCGCTGCACCACCACCGCCACCGCCACCGCCACTGCTACCGCTATCGCTACCGCCATTGCCACCGCCCGCCACCGCCACAGCCGCCATCGCCGCCGGCGCCCCCGCCGCCAGCGCCGCCGCCCCCACCGCCCTCGCCACCGCCACCGCCGCCA